ACTGTAAAGACATCGATGCCCAGGTTCCAAGCTTAGAAACTGATTCATTTTCACTGGATGGCAGTGTGATGTGTGTGTACATTTTATCACTCCAGAAAGTTTTTGTTCCCTTTCTCAGTCAGTCCCTTCACCTCCGAGACAACCACTGTTTCGACATTCTGATTCTCTTCAATGGATTAGTTTTGCCTTATCTATAATTTCACATACATGTAGTCATACAGTATGCACTTTTGTGTCTGGCTTCTTTCAGCATGCTTTTTGAGATTTATCTATACTGTTGCATGTATTAGTAATTTGCTCTTTTTCTTGTTGAGTAGTACTTGATTAACTATATCATAATTCCCATATTCTTTCTCTTATTAATGGACAGTTGGGCTCCCTGGCTCTAGCCACCACAAGTATAGTTGCTATAAACATTCTGACACAAGCCCAATGGACATGTTTTGTTTTTCCTCAGAGGTGAAACTGCTGGGTTTCATATCAGATGCATATTCAGCTTTACGAAAAGCTAAAAAATGGTTCCCACTTTATACTTCTCCCAGTAATGTACAAGAGTTCCGTCCTCCCTAACATCTGGTGTTATCTTTTATTTTAGCCATTCCAACATGTGTATATTAGCATCTCATGGTGATTCTAATTATCACTTTCCTGATGACTAGTAATTTTGAGCACCTTTTCATGTGCTAAATGCTCATTCATAAATCTTTTTTGTTAAATGCCTTTTCAAGTGTTTTGATCCATTTTTATTTAGTTGTCTTTATATTATTAAGTTGTAAGAATTCCTTATATATTTCACACATAAGTCTCCTGTCCTATATCTGTATTGTGGATATCTTCTCCTTAGGGTGCAGCCTGCCTATTAGCCACGTGTCTCTCTCTTTTTAATTGTTAACACTATTAGAGATGCCTCCCCCCCATTTGCCCACCTTCAACCAACCCCCTTCACTCTGGCCATCACCACACTATTATGTCTATGGGTTATGCATATATGTTCTTTGGCTAATCCCTTCACCTTCTTTCATCCACTCCCTCTCTTTCCCCTCCCCTCTGACAGCTATCAGTCACTTAATAGTGTCTTTGATTTGAAGCTATTTGTTATTTTAAAATATATCTTTATTGATTTCTAAGGAAGGGAGAAGGAGATAGAAACATCAATGATGAGAGAGATTCATTGACCGGCTGCATCCTACTAGGGATCAAGCCCTCAACTGGAGCATCTGCCCTGAATTGGAATTGATCCTCAAACTCCTGGTTCATACGTTGATGCTCAACCACTGAACCACACCAGCCAGGCAGTATTTGTTAAAGTTCAATTAACCAATTTTTTGGTTTACAATTTTTTTTTTATTTTTTTTTTGGTAATGAAACTTTTGTCTACTTTAAGGTCACAAAGTAACTTTGCTATATTTATATATTTAGAAGGCTTATCGTTTTAGGGTTCATGTTTGTGTCTGTGAACCATCTCAAATCAATCAGGTTTATGGTATAAGGAGGGAAGTGGGAGAGGCACAGCTTTTTATGGTTTTCACCTAGAATAGAGCAGGTATAGGCAAAGGGTTCTCTCCTGTAAACCTGCCACTCCTCAGGTCCATTGCTTAGAGATTTCTGAACCTTTGGTCTGTGCATATTGTTTTCAGATTGCAGGCTGCTGTATGGCCAGGCTGGGAGATATAGGATCCAAAAAGAGGGAGCTTGGGGTGAGAGACTCATGGTTGTTACTTCTTCATGTCCTGAGTCTCTATCCAGTCTGCTTTCCATTGTGCAACTATCACAATGTTCTATTAGTTTCTTTTTGTCCAGTCTTTAGTTGAAATTCGCAGGATGTTTCACTTAGAATGCTCTTACTGTCTTGTCTGTTAACAGATGCTGCTCATTTTCATTTTGAAGGCTTCATTGGGTATGGAATCTTAAAGATGTTTCCATGTTGTTTTTCTTGTAAGAAATTAGTGATTATTCTTATTGATCCTGCTTTTAGATTTGCTTCTCACCTTTTTCTTGGGGGGGGGGCTGTCTTGTATTTATTCTGCTTGGGTTGATTGAGCTTTTATCATTGGATTGATATTTGTCAGCAAATTGAAAAAGTTTCAGCTATGATTTCTTTGTTTCCTGCCTTAATCCCTCTTAATTTCTCCGTCTAATAGCCAAATATATGCAGATGAGATTGTTTTACCTTTCCTAACAGATAACTGAAGCTTTGTTCATTTATCAAATCATTTTTTTATGTTGCTGTATTTGTTTGGATTTTTTTTTTAAATATATTTTATTGGTTTTTTACAGAGAGGAAGGGAGAGAGATAGAGAGTTAGAAACATCGATGAGAGAGAAACATCGATCAGCTGCCTCCTGCACATCTCCCACTGGGGATGTGCCCGCAACCCAGGTACATGCCCTTGACCAGAATCGAACCCGGGACCCCTCAGTCCGCAGGCCGACGCTCTATCCACTGAGCCAAACCGGTTTCGGCTGTTTGGATCTTGTTTTGCTGGGTCTCATTGATTTGCTAGATTTAAGAGCTGATTTGACAGTGAAGTTTTCATGTCATATTTTTCAGTTCTACAAGTGCATTATATTTTCTATTTCTCTGCTGAGTCCCCCATCTGTTCACTAATTATGCTTAATTTTTCCTTTAAGTCTTTGCACATATTTATGTAGATGTTTTATTGTTGTTTGATAATTCTGCCATCTGGCTCATATCTGACTCTATTTCTTTCTCCTAGTTACGGGTCAAAATTTCCTGCTTCTTATGTTTAGTAAAGTTTTATTGAATATTCTGGATGCTAAGTTCTTGAGAGTCCAGACTTTATTAAAGAGTTTTGAATTTTGTCCTGGCGTGCAGTTAATTTATTGGTAGTTCAACTTGATCATGTCCTGACTTCTGTTTAAACTTTTATAGGCTTCCCTATGGTAAAAGTCATCTTAAGTTGTAGCCTAGTAAGTTGGTACCTGTATTTTGTCCAACTTGATTGTTGTATTTATTTCATGGGATTTCACAGCAGGAGGGGAAATCTGGTCAGTACCCATTACTCATGGCCAGAACTAGAAGGGGTGCTCATAATGCAGTTTGATAGCATCACTTTTGGCATATTGGGCTAGGATATATGCTGTAAGGGGCTGTTCTGTACATTGTAGGCCACTATCCCTGGCCTTTAACCAGTAGATGCAATAGTACCTCTTCCCAGTTGTGACAACCCAAAATATCTTCACAAATTGCTGAATGTCCCTGTGGGACAAAATTTTCCCAGGTTGAGAACCCCTGCCCTGGCAGAATTGTTGCATACCTTAAGCCCATGCTACTCAAAGTGTGTTATGCCATCTAGCTGCACTGGCATCACCTGGAGTGCTTCTTAGGAACACAGAAACTAAGGTCTCATCTCACACCTCCTGAATGAGATCTGTATCTTAGCAAGATCTCAAAATGACTTGTATGCTTTTTAATGTTAGATCAGGGGCCAGGTGGTACATATTTTATCCTTAAGGTCCAGTCATTATCACAACAATTCAGCTCTGTCATTACAGTGTAAAAGCAGCCATAGATAATACATAAAAAATGGTTGAGGCTGTGTTCCAATAAAACTTTATGCACAATTCAGGCAGCTAGGCAGTAAGCCACACTTTTCTAAGCTATGCCATAGACTCTCCCAATCAGATCTCTCAAAGTAAAGTCCTTTATGAGTACTTTCCTATTTGATATCATTTGTTGTTGCTTAAAGAGATGTATAGGTTATACACGTTTAGTAGCTTGACTTCTATTCTCCATCTAGGTCAGCCGTGGGCAAACTACGGCCCGCTGGCCGGATCAGGCCCATTTGAAATGAATAAAACTAAAAAAAAAAAAAGACCGTACCCTTTTATGTAATGATGTTTACTTTGAATTTATATTAGTTCACACAAACACTCCATCCATGCTTTTGTTCCGGCCCTCCGGTCCAGTTTAAGAACCCATTGTGGCCCTCGAGTCAAAAAGTTTGCCCACCCCTGATCTAGGTGGTAATAGCATCCACTTCCACAGATAAGTTATATATAGACTAGAGGCCTGGTGCACGAAATTCGTGCACAGGTAGGGTCCCTAGGCCTGGCTGGCAATCAGGGCCAATCCGTGGTGTGACCGGTGGGGCAATCGGGGGCCCCACTGGCACACGCCTTGGCCAGCCTGGGGCCTACGGGCAGCTCCTGCATTGAGTGTCTGCCCTCTGGTGGTCAGTGCGCATCATAGTGACCGGTTATTCCACAGGTCGTTCCATCAATTTGCATATTAGGCTTTTATTATATAGGCTGCTGCTTAAGTTAGCTTACCAGTTGGTCTCAGCCTTTATAAAATATTTGATGTCATATTTTTGTGTGTGGAACAAAATATATTATTAGTCCAATGAAATAACTATTTACTTATTTTGCCTTTAAGCTGACAGAACTTTAGGGAAACTGCATTAGTGTGACTTTGTTAGTTTAAAGTTAGTATCCTGCTCACCGTACCATATGTTCCAAGTCCTTGGGTTTATCTTGGGCCACACACCTCTTGACAAAGTTTATTGTATACTTTTAGGCATTCAGGTTTAACACTGTAAAGACAGACTGGTTGTTTCCTTTTTTGTTGGGAGATAAGAGTGAGCATCTTTTCCTAGATCAACTTTGTGGACAAACAAGGACTTTAACCAGCTGTCTTCTTGAGGTCTGTGATGGGAAGGTGTCAACCTCCTCTGGAGGCTGAAGCATCAGGTGGCTGGACAGCCATCTTGCTCCCCTAGAATCACTAAGTTATTAGAAAGCTTTTTGGTCATTAATAATTATCTGACATCTATAAGATTAAATCTGTTTTTTTTGTCTTGCCAAAAAATTCAGTTTTTATATTCTGTCTTATTTTTGGAGTCTAAGTTAAGAGATAGCTTACTTACTGGTTTAAAAGAACCAATAAAATTAACCAGATTTGACTGTTTGATGCTGGTAAGTACTTTATAAACTCCTAAAATCCAGGATCTAAAAAAAAAAAAAAAAACTTCTCAGGTAAAATAAAGACAAAAAAGTTTATTTAGCATGAGTACACAAAACAAATACTGGATAACTCAGATCTAACACACTATATATGTCTTTTTCCATAGGAAAGCACAAGGAGAAGACAAAAATATTGTGAGTTGCAAGAATTTTTGAATGAAGTAAAAAGTTCTCCACAAAAAGAGAGCTTTATGCAGTTCCCAAACTCATTTTATGAACCCCATCAAGATTTTACCCGTCCAGATATATTCAACAAGTCCAGATGTCCATCTTGGTACACGTGCACTTCCACAGCTGGTATGGAAGTCACAGACTTAAGTTCTACAGGATTTTGGTCTGCAATTTCCCAGTTTACCCTTAGTGAAGAGACAAAAGCAGATGTATATCATTATGGCTTCATCATTCTTTTACTTTTGATGTTAGTGGGTCTTGCTTTATATTTTCTCTGAAGATATTAAACAAAATCCTTTTGATAGCTTTTAAAGTTTCAGTTCTTCACAGAAATGTTACATTCTTATTTTAGGGCTTCCTCCCAGACATTTTCAAGGTAATTGGCTAAAAAAAAAAAAGGAATACATTTTAACAAAACAAGTTTGTGAACATTCTAAAAAAAAATTGCTTTATACAAGAAATGGTGTCATGATACAGTTTGGAAAATACTTTTCTGAAGTTTCAGATCACCCCGAAAATTTAAAAAGGTTATTCCAAAAAAGAGGGATTACCTCTTTGGATCAAAGGAGCAGTTTGAAAATTAAAATTTTATTTATAGGGACAATTTATCTTACAGAAACTTTGCTTTTTTTAAATACATAAGTTATATCTCAAAAAGTTTTAGAAAAGCTGATATAAAGATATCTTCTAAAACACATAACTAACCGCTAAGGATATTTTATGAAATGTGATTAATTGCTTACCTTACTACAATATGGACATTCACCAAATAAAATGTTAAAACTCTGTCTACTAGTCTGTAGTCCTCTCAACCACTGGAGATTTTAAAGAGAAGAGAAAGGGAGCAATGTTAGCATGAATACAGATAATTCCAAAAATAATTTACTCTCTTAAATCTCTTTTGCAAGAGTAAGGGGAACATTTTCTGAGCCAATGTTAGACTACTAATATGTGGAATAACAAGGGAAACCAACATGGATTTCAAGGTTTATACCCAGTGCTGTATAACCAAATTATGGGCCCCGGTAAGATTTTGATGAAAATTATTCATCTTTTCTATTCCTGAAACACACAAATAATGCATATGGGTCTATGGGGCTCACAGATCTACCTAAAGACATTAATTGCAACTTAAGACCTAATGCAGTGAAAGATACCATAAACGCTTGAAAAGTTAAGTCTCAATTCTGGTGTTAATCACCAATAGTGGGTTAATTCTCAACCATTTGTTACAAGCATTAGACAGTTCATTTTCAAAAACTAAATGAATAATTCATTATTATAAAAGAAAACACATGTTCCCTTAAGAGTATCTCTATAATTAGAACTGATATGATTTTTATATAAGGTAAACTGACATCTCTAACTCAGTTCTCCCTTGTTAAAACCAGGTAGTATTACTATGGAAGACTTAGAAAATTGAAAGCACCATACAACTGCAAGGTGTTTTGTATATTGATGCACATATAGTTTAACATATGTCAACTGTGCACTAAGATGAATGCTATACAGAGCAAATGATGAGTGACAGAAATAAAAGCAGTCTTCACATATAGCAAATAAAATGTCACTAAGAGTGCTGTGAGATACTCAGATCACAGGATATATTCTCAATTATCAAACGAAAGATTATTCCATTTATTCTGTACTTAAATCTAGCCTGAAAAGTAATAGATGCTCCACAGTGCTAGTTCCCCTTCACCTTATTGCCACTACCACCCCCAACTAGGTGAGTCTACAGTTTGCATGTGGTTACATGAAGTGTTTCCTGAAAGATTCTAGTGTACCATCAATTTGTGTGTCAATAGTAGTCCATGAATGTATTCTGGACATGATGAAAAAATGAAGCACATGGACATCTGGAATGAACTAGTATAGTAATGCAGGAGCTAATGAAAAAACAGAAGATCACACTGAAATAGATTTTAGTCTAAATATGTCAAATTTATATTCTTTCTTTGTTGTGTTAGCTGAAAAAAACTCTTACTGATGTGATTTTTACTTTACCTCATATAAGCATATTTGATGGAAAGGCTGCCCACACTGAGAATAATCACACACTTGATCAGGAATGGCACCATCAAGTTGATAGGCATAACAAATTCCACAATCCATAGAAAAATCCTTCAAAAGAAAAGATATATTTATAAGTGTGTTTAAAACATACAAAATGAGATGAGAGAATGAATATGGTATAGATAATATTAAATTTTTATAATTATAGTTTTTATAAAAATTACTCTATTATAGAAAATAGTCACATTACTATTTAACACAAGAAAAGCTATTTGTATGAGTGCGCTCCCTTTTTCATTCAATAAATTATACACATGGATACATATAAAAAAACAGATTCTGTTTATTCTCACAAGATGTTTGGGCTTAAGTAATTTTCCCATATTGTACATCAATATACACTCAAGCATGTAAAAACAGGAACTGATATTAGCTAGTGATTACTAACTAAACTTCAAAATTGTGTAACTAAAGGAAAAAGACAAAACATCTCCACCACTTTAGTGTTTTACAATTTAGTAGCTTTGTCAAAATTCAATTCTAAATTTATTTGCAATGCAATCTTGTCTGTTCAGTTTTGAAAAACCGTACTACTATCTTTAAACACTTATATTAAGCTAATCAGAACTTCATTTCAGTCATCCAGAAGCAGACAGTCTAGAAAATCCAAACATTCCATTAGCTACTTTGGACCTTACCCTCTATTTTTAATAATAAAGATGTCTGTCAATCAATTTACTGTTACAAAGACCATGAAAAGTACACATCACCATCAGTCGAAGGTTAACAAGTACTTTCATGCAACTTGCTTGCAGTTCAGAAGTCTGTTATAAAATTCTTCTAATTCCCTCACTTTCAACCTCATTTTTCTTTGGTGCCTAAAAGAACTTTTAACTTTCATTCTTCAATGCTGTTTGGAATATCAAAGCAATGAAAACACTTACAGATTTTTCTAGGATAGCACGAGCTGGGAAATCAATTTCTAAAACATCTTTCAAATTTTGTAATAGAGTATTTTCTGGATCCCTGAAAACATAAAATTTTTTTCATTAAATTTGTAAAGTCATAGAAAAGTAATAGTTCTATTGCAAAGATACCTACCACAAATGTATGTTTCTGCTCAGCTTAATTCCTAGGGGTTTCACCACTTTAGATATTTAAAGAAAAAAAAAGTTTAATAATTTAGGGGTTGTTGTTCTCATTTTGTAAAACCACATTTGGCACAGAATTTGTTTCTAATTTAAATTGACATACAACACTGTTAGTTTTAGGTGTACAACATAATGATTGTACAAATTAATATCCATCACCAGATAGTTTTTTCTTAAGATGAAAACTTTTAAGATCTCATAGTAACTTTTAAATATACAAATAGTATTGTTAACTACAGATTTTGCTTACTTCATTAGAAAATAATATATTAAAAACAAAAGTATGCAGTTCAAAATGAGATTTTCATTTGAAATAATTACCCCTAATATTTTAGAGTAATATTTTAACAGTGGTAGACAAGGATTTTATGATTCTGTTAAAAGACTTGAATCTGAGATCGCACACCATGGTCAGCTCCAAGGAAGTAGCACTCGGGAAGCATAGTGGGGTGCTTGGGGTCCACCTCTATATGTATGGAAGCATTATTCCCTAGAATAAAAAGATATTAAAAGTTTTTACAAAAAAATTAAGGAGTATCTGGCTGGGTGTTTATTTCATTGTATATACAAGGAAACAGTAACCAAATGCTTTATAAATTTTTCATAAAAATTTTTCATAAAAGGTAAATATATCTCTATAGTATAATTTCATTAAAAGATGTAAATTTTGAAATTATAATTGTAGCTAAAGATTTGGGGACCCTAAGTTTCAAAAAACAGTCAATCCATAAGTTAATATATTTAATTTATATCAGAATCTTGGTTAGCATTCTATTAAAGTTTAAATACAAGGTTTTACATATTGATGGTTTTTTAAAAATTCACAAATCAAATATTTAAGAAATACCTAAATTACTTCTCATGACTCTCTTGGAAATAATAGAACTATGGTCAGAATTAAAGTACAACAGATGGTAAAAAATAAACATGCTTAAGATTTGAGTTTTATGAAGGTTTATAAAAATTCTTTCTGAATTCTTTTGCTCCATGTGAAGTTTTCCCTTGTAAGTTAAAGGGTTCAATTCCTATTAAATATGAAAGTGTTCATTTAGTAAAAACAGCAACTAATCTTGCTTGCAAAATCTATAAAAAAGCTATTTCTACTTGGTACTAGATTTTTTAAAATAAATTTTAACTATACTAGAGTACTGTACGAATTTCATATATTTTACTATTTTTGAAGGTGCACTGTATAATTGTTTAAGGTCAATTTGAATTTCATTTTTATGATAAAAATGTAATGTCTTTATAAATTCTATACTCTATATTGTATAAGCCTTTGGCTAACTGGGTAACAACACGCTTTGTAGAACTGTTGTACAATTATACTTTCCTCTTCTCCTAACAACATAAGTACAATTATTACATATCTGGCAAAAAGGTAACCAAAGAAAATAAATGACTATTAAGTCATTCAATGAGAAAAACAAAAAGTTAATTTATAATCTCATTTGCTAATGCATTCCTTGCCATGAACACAAATTCTGTATTAGCCTTTAACTCCAGAAAATACTTTCCCTTAACAGTGGTTATTAACTAACAATGGCTATATTAAGTAATATTTTACTTAATTTGTTAAAAACTTGGTCTTATAAAGGCAAATCATAGTTTACCTTTTAGGTTGTTTTTTTTTTTTTAACAAACTGGGTAACAACAGTCTTTGTAGAACTGCTATACGATTATATTTTCCTCTTCTAATAACATACCACTTTCCCCCCACGTAATATAGCATGCCTGGGTAAAAACTCTAAAAATTGCTCACTAATTGGGATATGATCCACATCAAAATTTCAAGATATCATTCGGAATATATGATTTGTAACAACATATCTATTTGAGCTAGGAAAAGAGGGAGGAAAGATATGAATAGGTATCTTCTAACCAACTACAGTATTTAGTGTGAACTCAAATGGAGTTTAAAATATCTAGTCTTGAAAGGCAGACCTTGAAAACTGTTTTGCTTGCTCATAATGAAATACATAAAACAATCATTTTATAGTAAGGAGAATATGGTGATTTTTAAAGGATGATATTTATAGTTATTTCACATATTTATGAAAATACTTCAAAACTATTCAATTATTTTGTGCTTTTTGTTTACTCTTCAAAGGCCCGTGAGTTATTTTATTCTCTTCTATATTTTTTCAGAAAATATTCCCAGATTTGTTCACACTCATCTTCTCTAGTTTCATGGATGAAGACTTCATTATTTCTAACATAGTTCTTTTTCCTAAGTAATGTAAGTTTTGAAAAGCCTGCTCCACTATTTCTGTGCTAATTAAAAGCTAATTTAACACCATCTCTGAATGCTGCTTCCATTGGATCATCACCTTTTATAATGAAACACCTCAGTACTTGCCCTTTTCCCCTGAAATATTTACATTTAAATACATAGTAATAAAAAAAAAAGTTCATCCCAGAAAGTTTTAATAGCTTAATTCATGCAGAAAAGTCTCACCTAAAAGTCCAATGTCATCTTTAGATACATTTTCCTAAGTAATACGAAATACAATCAAATGCGTTAAAAAGAAAAAACCTCATTATTCATCTTTCCCCACCTACTGCAATTCTGCGTGCCGTTGCACTCCGAGTAGGTTTTTCTGGTTCAAGTACCCAAGTTTTCTCATCGATTTCATCCATAACATCCCAGAATGTCTTCAGTGATTCCAATGCTGCCAAAAACTGACTATGAATGCTTATTAGGGAACTCTGTGAAAAGATAGATGAACGCTGAATAAGTTGTATGGCACTATCCATTGCATATTATCTTTCACTTTTATTTTAAAACCCAAATTTAGAATTTTAATTGCTTTATTTCAGCTAAAAATAGACTCTTGTAAACAAGAGTCAACTCGCTCTGCTTCAAACCTCTTCACCTCCAATATTAACAGAATTCCTTTGTCACTGGACTATACAATTCTCAAGAAGACTGGCTTTTTTGATAAATGTCATTTTTAAATTTTTTCCATCACCATTTATTTGTATGATGAATTTTGTATTATATATATGACATAGTAACTACTAATACAAGAAGATATGTATGTAAGACTATTAATGTATATAATATATTTGGGGCAGTGTTACAATTTTAGGATGAAAATATTTTCACTTTTGCTGTCATTATCAAGTTAAATGCAGTACTATTTGCAACTTAAATTACTTTTAAACATTATGAATGAATAACTTTTCAGACTTCTATATAGAAAAGTTTATAAGAACTAGAGCTTAATGTCTGAGAAGAACCTTTCACAATACTGAAGGCCGAATATCTGTTCTCTTCTGGTATACCAAACTTACCTACAAGTTTAAATGTCAGAATCCAGAAATCAGAAAACTAAACTCACAAGTGTGTTTGTTTGTTTGTTTGTTTAACTATGGGCTACATTTTATTACTTTTTCCCACTGGTTTCAGCACAATTTTTAAGATTACCAAACAAGAAACTAGTTGTGATCCTTATAGATGTCCTCTCTTACACCTAATAAATTTAATAAGTTAACATAGAACCTGATTCTATTTTAACATATTTATCTTGACAATTCTATTACCCTAGCATAATTATATGCGATTAGAATAATTCCCTAGTTCCTGTTTCCATATCCAGACTAGCCATCCTTGACTTTAACTACCTTACTGTAGAGTACCTGATCTAAAATATAAAACTGAACATATCAGTTTCCCACTTAAAACCATTCATATCAACCTTTTAACTGTATTTCCCCCCCTCTAGTCACATTCCCCTAAAGCCCATTATTTATATTGCAATTAAGTTGATTTTTGTATTCTATCATAAAAGTTTAGGTGCAGTTCTTATCAAAATATTTTTTCTTTGTAATACCACCACTTAATGATAGTAACACAAGTTGCAAAAGCTATTCAATAAATATTTAAACTGAACTGAACTACATGATATATAAAATAATCATTGATGATTATTCTATTTCTTAAGTTTACCTTTATATACAAGTAGCTTGCAAATTGTGTTTTATATATTATTACTGATTAAAACCACAGTTCTTTGTCATGGCTTGCAATTATCATTCTTTTTTAGTATGTATACACAGATATGTTTACACAGAGTAAACTAACACTTTCCATGGGTATATTTACTACTCCAAGGCTTAGTAACTATCTTCTCTATGATCCTACCCAAATCTATTTAAGCCAGATGGAGAACTCTAGAACTACTCAGCCATCTCTATATAGATGCACATCATAGGGAAAAATATACTTAATTCAATGAAACTAATATTTCAACTCCCTGATAGGACTATTTTGAAATCTAATACAAAGATAAAGAATCCATAAGGAGAGCACAGCTGTAATCTTGATGATAACAAAGTATCTGATCTTAACCAAGACATATTCAACTTCTAGAAACCTTAACATTGCAAATATGAAGGTGGTTGTGCACTAGATAGCTTCTAAAGTCACTTCCAGATCTATAAGAATTTCAAATATAACTTCAAAAATCCATAAAGTAGGTCATTCTGTCCACTTAAAAGTATCTATATTTCAAGATCCCGATTACTATCATGTACTCCCATTTATTTATAATTATTGTTTATAAACAGATTTTAAATTGAAATTATATATAAATATGTATACATTAAATGTAAATAATTTCTATGCTTTAATGTACAGCAATCATTTCTTTAATCAAAATAACTATGTATCAGCCCAGCCAGCATGGCTCAGTGGCTGAACATCAACCTATGAACCAAGAGGTCACGGTTCGATTTTCTGTCAAGGTACATGCCTGGGTTGTGGGCTCGATCCCTAGTGTGGGGTGTGCGTCATTGATGTTTCTATCTCTCCCTCTCCCTTCCTCTCTGAAATCAATAAAAATATTTTTTTTAAAAAGAACTACATATCAGAATCAAAATATTTGTGTTATATTTTATAACCCTACTAGAGGCCCGGTGCATGAAATTCATGCATGAGTAGGGTCCCTAGGCCTGGCCGGCAATCAGAGCCAGCTGGGGCCTTCCTTAGTTGTGTGCCTCCCCCTGACGGTAAGAGCACGTCATAGCGAGCGGTCAAACTCCTGGTTGGTTGAACTCCTGAGGGGACAATTTGCATATTAGTCTATTATTATATAGAATGTATGTAAGGAAGAAGTGAAAGATGCATTATACAACTTCAATTATTTAAAGGAAAAAATGTCAGCCTTCCAAAACTTTTGAGTTTTTGGAATTGGTTTGAAACCATAAATTCCTAGTAGGAAAAAGAAAGCAGTTAGATAGCTTAAATGTAGTGAAGATCCAAAAATAACACCCAAAATATTGCAACTGATTAATTTACTAATCAAAAGAAGGTATCATCCTTCTTTGCACACATGCATAGATGGGGCCATGATTAAAGAAAAGGAAATAGAGGAACAAAGATATGAGACAGAAATAAGCCAGGAGGGAAAAAAGATAACAGAAATTAGTATCTAAAAAACTAAAGAAAACACAAGGCTTTGTGTCCCAAAAGCAACAAACTATCTCACAGAGAAGAAAAGTATCCCAGAAACGAAGACTATGATGTAGAATCCTCTCACCCAAGCCTTCCTGTGGGGGGGAAGAGGAGAGGACAGGATGAAAAACAACCTCAACAATCTCTTTTCCTTAAAATGTAAAAAAGAGAGAGATCCTGAGAAAGTTAGAAATTATAAAGCAAGGTGAGAAGAGTATCAGTGGTTCTCAACCTTCCTAATGCCGCGACCCTTTAATACAGTTCCTCATGTTGTGGTGACCCCCAACCATAAAATTATGTTCGTTGCTACTTCATAACTGTAATTGTGCTACTGTTATGAATCGTAATGTAAATATCTGATATGGAGGATGTATTTTCAGGGGTCATGACCCACAGGTTGAGAACCGCTGTTTACTCCAAGGATTTGCAGCAAGGACCCATGCAGAGGGCATTCCAACCACAGCAGGTTGGTTTATATGTGTATCTATCTGCCTTGTGGTGTATCCTAGCTAATAAAAGAGAAACATGGTAATTAGCCGTATGGCCGCTACCCTTCCCATTGGCTAATCACTGAGATATGCAAATTAACTGCCAACCAAGATGGCGGCCGGCAGCCAGGCAGCTGACGCGAACAGGGAGGCTTGCTTGCTTCAGTCACAGAGAAAGCCAGGTTCCCCGTCTGCCTTGCCGGCCTCTCAGCTGCTCTCTAAGAAACATTGTAACAAATATAGAAGCTAAACAAAACCCCAGAAACCTGCTTTAGTCAGCCAGGCTTCAGCCAGCCGGACCGCAACATTGTTTCAAATACAGAAGGTAAACAAAGGCCAGAAACCTGCTTTCAGCAGCGGAGGTCTCATAGCTGGAGCCGAGCCTCAGAGCTAAAGCTGGCCCAGAATTAAAAAAAAGGAAAAAAGGAGCGGTTGGGAGCTTCAGTCACCCGCCAGCCTGAAAACGGCCCTCAGCCCCTCACCCAGACTGGCCAGGCACCCCAGTGGGGACCCCCACCCTGAAGGGGGTGTGACCAGATGCAAACAGCCATCATCCCCTCATCCAGGCTGGCCAGGCACCCCAGTGGGGACCCCCACCCTGATCCACGACACCCTTCAGGGCAAACCAGCCGGCCCCCACCCGTGCACCAGGCCTCTATCCTATATAGTAAAAGGGTAATATGCCTCCCGGCACCGGGATCAGCGTGACAGGGGGCAGCGCCCAAACCCCCTGATCGCCCTGCGGCTCTGTGTGTGACAGGGGGCGGGGCCACAACCTCCCTATCCGCCCTGCTCTGTTCGTGACAGGGGAAGGCACCCCAACCCCCTGATCAGCCCTGCTCTGTGCCTGATAGGGGGGAGCTCCCCAACCCCCTGATCGCCCTGCGGCTCTGTGTGTGACAGGGTGTGGCACCCCAAGCCCCCCGCCACACGGGCCCTGCTCTGTGTGTGACGGGGTAGAGCCATAACCTCCCCATTGGCCCTGCCCTGAGTGTGACAGTGGCGGCACCCCAACCCCCTGATCGGCCCTGCTCTGTGGGTGATAGAGGGCGGCGCCCCAACCCCCTGATAGGCCCTGCTCTGTGTGTGACAGGGGGGAGCTCCCCAACCCCCTGATCACCCTGCGGCTCTGTGTGTGACAGGGTGCGGCACCCCAACCCCCCCTCCCCCCATCGGCCCTGCTCTGTGAGTGACAGGGGGGAGCTCCTCAACCCCCTGATGGGCCCTGCTCTGTGGGTGATAGAGGGCAGTGCCCCAACCCCCTGATCAGCCCTGCTCTGTGCGTGACAGGGGGTGGCGCCGCAACCTCCCCATCGACCCTGCCTTGAGTGTGACAGGGGGCGGTGTCCCAACCCCCCAATCAGCCCTACCCTGAGTGTGACTGAGGGTGGCATCGCAACCTCCTGATCTGCCCTGCTCTGTGCATGACAGGGGGTGGCGCCCCAACTCTCCAATCGGCCCTGCTCTGAGCCCGACCAGGGGCTGCACCTAGGGATTGGGCCTGCCCTCTGCCACCCGGGAGCAGGCCTAAGCCAGCAGGTCATTATCTCCCGAGGGGTCCCAGACTGCGAGAGGGCACAGGCCGGGCTGAGGGACCCCCCTCTCCCCCCCGAGTGCACAAATTTTTGTGCACTGAGCCTCTGGTATTTATATGGGATAAAGCTATGACCAGAAAAACAGCACAGACTAAATACCAGAAGTTAGAAAACTACCTCTACAACATTACATTCACAGGGAGCAGAAGATCTAAGTTTAACAGGGGA